CCTGGAGGGGGGGGGAGTAAATTCAAGCCCGATGTGCTCAGGTGAGCGCTGTGGCCCCTGGGCCTCTTGTTATTTAATCCCATCTAGTTTGAGATAATGAGATTTTACTATATAAAGAAATTATACTATTAGTTTAACATTACTTTTTCATTTCATTTTGGACAAATTCTTTTTTTTAAAGAAATTTTATTTAAAGTTTAATTTCCAAATAAATTACTAAAGATTTGTTAATATGTCTTAATACTTTTGTCAGGACAAGTTTTGCCAATTTTTTTTATTTTACATGTTAATAGACCTTATGATATTATCCATTCTAGGCCATTTTAAAAGAAGTATTTCATTGAAAACTTCACAGTCAAAATATTATGGAACCTTAAAATTTTCCGAGACCAAACAATTCAGATAAACTTTGCATGATTTCCCACAAACTCTTACAAGGGGGATAACTTCTGATCAATAGATATCTATTTGGAATAAATATTGATATATTTCCATTTCTATTTTTTTCTCTGTGATAACTCTTTGAAAGTTAGTGAAGTTTATTTCTTGATAATTCTACCGGAATGTAAATTAGGCAAATCGATAGGTCAGGGGCTAAGGACGCCATATATGCATGTGAATCTCGCGCTTGTCTGTCTTTGTGCCTGATGCTAAGGAGGCCAAATATGCATGAAAATCTCATGCAGCTGTCTTTGTGTTTGACATCAGTGGGCGAGGACTATTGAAATTGACAATCTAAATCTACAATTTTATTTCACAATGAAATGGAAATATAAGGAATCACTGTCTAGTTAGGAGACTATGCCAGGGACATCAACAAATAGTGGGAAACATGGGATAATTTATGCGTTATGCAATTATTCCATGTGTCCTACTATTGTTGATGCCCTGGCATACTATTCTAACTAGACAGTGATTCCTTAAGTATTGTACGGTTTAATTAAAGGTCTGCTAACTTTGAGCAGGCTTTTGAAAACTACCTATCTTTTGAAAAATTGTTAAGATTTCTTACTCTGTACCAAAGCTTTAAGTTTGCAGTTCTTATAATTCCAAAGATAGCACTCAAAGTATAATTATTTGAACATTTCATTTCAGATTTGTCAAGTTTCTTACAGGTCAATATTTTTTTTTGTGAATTCATGATCATCCTATTTCTTTGTATCTGTTCCCTGTTTAATATTACATGTATCCTGTTATTGTTTTTGAATATTTCCTTTCTATATAAGATATTAAAAATATCTGATTGATGCTTTTTTTTTTATTTTATGTGTTAGATATTTGTAGATTCTACCAAACACTTGTTGACTAAAATTTTCTTTTCATATGAAGTAATATGCAGTTTGGAAAAAAAAATAATAAAAAAGGTCTCCAAAACCTATATGAATTACTGTACACAGGGTTATTTTCGCCCCCGTGTTATTTTTGCCCTTTCACACTTGTAGACAATTATCCCATTTTTAGCTCTTCTGAGCCAAAGGCTCAAAGAGCTTATGCTATGGCCATTTGTGCGGTGTGCGTCGTGCGGTGTGCGTTAACTTTTTAGAAAATGGGCCATAACTCAAGAACGCCTTGGCCAATCAGTGTCAAATTTGTCACAGGGTATCCTTGGCCCAAGGGCTACCATTTATACTAAAATAAGGGTTGGGACCCTTAAACAAGGGGAGATAATCAGGAAAACAAAACCAAAAGTACTGGTTGCTAAAAAATCTTCTTCTCCAGAACCACCAGGCAGATTTTCACCAAACTTACACACAAGGATCAGAATATGTTGAAGATTAAAAATTGTTCAAGGCATGACCCTGGGGCAATGGGCGTGGTCTTAAGGTCACTTCAAAGTTGACCTAAATTTACAATTGATAAAAACGTTTATATTTTGCTTACTATAAGGACTAAGATCATCTAATCTTGTAAGTTGATGCATCTTAAGACTTCACATTGACCTACTTTTTTAATTTTGCGGGCATTTGTTTTCAAATTGATTTGAAGGCATATTTTGGACACTTTAAGGCCTATGATCATCAAACTTTGTTAGTTGATGCATCTTGGGTCCTTGAACAACGTCAACTTAAAAGTAGGTCACCTTGACCTACTTTTTGAACTTTATGACTTATCCTTTTTAAATCATTTAATCCCATTATTGCAGACACTGAGAGGGTTAGAATCATCAAATCTTGTAAATTGCTGCATCTTGGGACCTTAAAACATATTTATGAAAAAGTAGGTCACTGTGACCTACTTTTTGAATTCTGCAAGCATATGTTTTCATATTGTTTAACTCTTTTCCCCCTGTTGCCACCATTTGACGCATTTGCGATTTCCCTAGAGTGTTTATCTGGCTGCCCCCTGAAGCCTTTTTGACTGACTTGAAATAACTGACCATTACATTTAGAACATGCTAATTAAGTACCTAAACATCATCAAAGTGGCACATATTATATATCAATGTTTGGGGAATGGATTGAACTTTAGTATTGTCATATAATTTTCTAAGAATAATAATTCTACAATTAACAATATATAGGTGAAACCAGGTAAAATGAATTTTTCACAACTAATCTTCATATTATCCTTTCTATGAAAGAAATTTTCTATAAAATATACCAGTAAACTTAAAATATAATACCAAACCAATTAAAGGCTCATTATTTTTGGTTTAATTAATATTAATTATATTAGATTAATAATGATAGGTAATTATCTTAGACTTGAGCTAACTAAACTTCACAATCATGATCAAGCAGGCTTGTTTATAAATATTTAATGAATTTATAGTTGACCACTTCTTGCAAAAGTCTTGGGGACAATAAATTAATACATGTTTTTCTCTTAATCAATGCCCAGATGAAAAAAAATGCTGAAAGTAGATTACTTAGTACTCATAAAACACATTGGGAAATCTCTGGCTGCCATTGTTGTTCTTGTTAAAATTCTATGATGTTCTTCCTCTAATTTTCATTGTAAAATTTTATTTCTATTAAATTCAACTTTAAAACTGATATAAAAACATTGTAAATGCTAATGCAATCCAAGGTATGTTACATAAAATGCAATATTAAGGCTGAATTTTGCTTGTGACAAGGCCCAATTTCTTGTAAACAGACTGGGTGCCATTGTTTTCACACAGGTAAATCTCAAGTGAATTCACACCAAGCTGTGACTTCACTAATTATAGTAACATTACCTAATGTGTAATACACATGATTGGCTATCATTTAGAGCTGAATTTATTCAGAAACAGGGGAAATCACAGAGCTAATTTAGGGTTGTTGTTTGTGTGCGTCAAATGGTGGCAACAGGGAAATGGGGCATAGCGTCAAATGGTGGCATCAGGGGGTAAAGGATGTAATGCATTAGGGGGAAAAGAGTTAAAAGGCACATTTTTATTACCTTCAGACCTACGACCATCAAACTTGGTCAGCAGATGCATCTTGTGACTTTGAAAAATGTTGACTAAAATGTAGGTCATGGTGACCTACTTTTGACATTTTATGGCTTTATTTAAGTATCTTAGGTATTTATTGGCTAAGAATCATCAAACTTTGTGAGTTGATGCATCTTGGGTTTTCGGAGAGTGACGACCAAAAAGTAGGTCACAGTGACCTACTTTTGACATTTTATAGGTTTATTTAAGCATCTTAGGTATTAATAAGCTTAGAATCATCAAACTTTGTGAGTTGATGCATCTTGGGTTTTCGGAGAGTGACGACCAAAAAGTAGGTCACGGTGACCTACTTTTGACATTTTATAGCTTTATTTAAGTATCTTACGTATTTATAAGCTTCGAATCATCAAACTTTGTGGGTTGATGCATCTTGGATTTTCGGAGAGTGACGACCAAAAAGTAGGTCACAGTGACCTACTTTTGACATTTTATAGGTTTATTTAAGCATCTTAGGTATTAATAAGCTTAGAATCATCAAAACTTTGTGAGTTGGTGCGTCTTAGGTTTTCGGAGAGTGACGACCCAAAAATAGGTCATGGTGACCTACTTTTGATATTTTATGGCTTTATTTAAGGATCTCTGGTAATTATTGGCTTAGAATCATCAAACTTTGTCAGTTGATGTATTTTGGACTTTCGAAAATCGCCTACTTAAAATTAGGTCACAGTGACCTACTTTTAACATTTTATGGCTATAATTAAGTATCTCCAGTTCTTATTGACTTGAAATAATCAAACTTTGTCAGTTGATGCATTTTGGTTTTTCCAAGAATGTAGATGAAAAAGTAGGTCAAGGTGACTTACTTTTGATTATCTTACATACTTATTGGCTTAGAATCTTCAATCTTTGTCTATTAATGCATCTTGAGTCCTCAGAAAACTTCAATCTTAAAGTAGGTCATTGTGACCTACTTATGTTTTTTTTATAGCTTTATTAAAATATCTTCAGTTATAATTGGCTAAGAATCATCAAACTTTGTCAGTTGATGCAACTTGGCTCTTGAAATACTTAGGGTTAGAGGCTTCCAATAGAAGTGATAGGTTGTACAATTTATCAGAAGAGCGATTCAAGGCCCTTGGGCCTCTTGTAAATTTGCCCATCCATAGTTTTCTTTTTAAAAAAAATATACTGTATTCCTTGAATTCGCCCCTTTTTAAAGAAGCCAAAATGAGGGTAAGGCGAAAGGGGCAAAAATAAAACGGGGGCAAAAATTTCCCTCTATACAGATTTGTCAGTTATGTATATAGCCTTTGATCTATTAATCACACTTTTGGTAAGTTGTTGATTAAGCTGAGTTTAATTTTTGTTTTAAAAAAATATTGAAAAATACGTTTGGAAAATAGCTGTAATTTATTTTAAAAGATTACCATGCGTTTCTTTGGGTAACCGTATAGATTTTTCAGACTAGACCAGTGTGTGCTTCTAATGAGCTATCAGATAGAAGATAAGCTACATTAAAAAAAAAAGAAAACAGATTTATTCTGATAACCATTGAATCATTTACAAACTTCATATACATGTTTATACATTAAACGCATAATTATACAATGACTTAACTTCTTAAATTATTACATTTCTCTAAATACCAATATTTTGAGCATGTGAACTGAAAAAAGTACATGCATTAAAATGTCTTTAATGTCTAATACAAAACACAAAGTCATGGGTTTTACGGCTCATAGGAGACACCCCTCTTTGTCTTTTAATCAAGTTAATGTATGTTTCATCTATAATGTTGCCCAGTGGTTCTTGAGAATATTTTAAAAATAATTTCCCCATGTAGTTTGACTCGACACCTTCCCTTTTGGGGTTCATGTTTTGAGTAAACTTGAATACCCAGTTAAACAAAGGGATCTCGAACACGAGTACCTCAAATACCATGGGTATTTATATTAAGATGAGAAATAAGTCTAAAGCGATTTTTGGAAATGAATTTTAACCTCGATATCTCGAACACTCGAATATCTCGAAGTATTTTCTCTTGGACGCAGCGAGTTTGAGATAACAATGTTTGACATGAAACTTAAATTCATCTTTTCAGGCCAAGTAATTGTTTGAGGAAAATATTTAAAAATGTGTTCCTATATATTTCCGAGTTAGAATTTGAACCCTTATTGTTGGTTCATCCTAACTATGGACCAGAATTTGAACAATCGTAAATGATCACAAAAGGTAGGTGTCAAAAAATTATTTTTTTCTTTCTTGCCCAGTTATTCTTGAATATAAGAGGTTTAATTGTTCCTATCAAATAAACATTTTAATTAATTATCTCCCATAATTTTTATGGGCATTTTTAAAAAAGATAATCTCCTCTTAAAAGACAGTTTGACCCTTTATTCGAACATGCTTTCAGAATCGGCTTTACCCAAGGATGCATTAGGTGAAGTTGAGTTGAAAAAGGGCCATTAGTTCTGTATAAGACGTTAAGAATGTGATAAGTTTACAAGCAGACAGATAGATAAACGCTTGATACCTTTTGATTAGAAAAGCTCTCTTGATGATGAGTTCTCTACTTGGATGAAATAAAAACAACATAATTCATTTCTTTAATGATTTAATTTTGTTTACACTGCGGTTTCTGATTGGATTAAAAAATACTTTATATTGTATAAATCAATGTAAATTGGGTTGCCTACGTACGTCACAAAGACTTACATAAAAAATGTATGGATCTGCCTGACGTTACATTTGTACACTTTGTCATAATTTTTAAGGGATAGATTTAGACTTTATTAGGTATTTTTTTTTAATAAACCTCTTCGAGGTTTATAAATCGTTAACCGCCTCTACCCGACTTTATATATACATGTAAATTGGGTAGCTAATAAATTCATTCCTTAATTAAAAATTACTTACAGATTGTTATTATACAGGTACACTGTAAGGCCAGGACTATTTCATGAGGTGCAGCCAAAGTAAACAGTCCTTGTTAAAGGGAACTGGAAACTTGCTAACAGTAACTCCATCAATTATATACTTTTTTTTTTTACTGTTTTTTATACCGATACAAAAGTTAAAAAAGTAGAGGATTTCGAATGATGGAGAATTAGCTTGGGACTAACACAAGGTGATTAGCCCATTAACATGTTAGACCAATACAAAAGTAAAATCTAGAGGAATGCGAAAAACGGGGGAATTAGGTTTCAGCTTTCTAGGGATTATCTCATTTGACTAACACACGGGGATTAGTCCATTAATTTTACAGAGATTTCTTGGGAATTAATTATTCATATTTTACTGCATAACCTTTATATAGGAAAAATCAGTAGAGGTACAATAATCTACTTTAAACTAAGTAATGAATAAAATAAAATCACTACTTCATTATCTTTATAAAAGCCGTTTCTTTCAATGGATCATTTTGGTATTTAAGTCTACTACTATTTAGCATGTTGACATTACTGGGAATGCACTTGAACTACTATTTCATTAGACCAAAGGGATAAACTTGGAGTCGGTCAATAAAAAACCATTTCTGTTGAATTTCAATTCGATCACAGAACTCATATATGGTGTCATTCCATTCTTCACTTGTCACAATCCTTTAATTTTCTTTTTTTTTTACGCATTTCATCCTTTCCTCTTTCTTTTCCTCCTAAATTTCCGTCGACTCCTCCCCTTCTTTCTCTAAGTTCGGCTCTTCCACAGATTCATCCTCATTTATTTCATCATTCATTTCTGTCTCTTGTTCTCCTTCGTCATTCATTTCTGTCTCTTGTTCTCCTTCATCATTCATTTCTGTCTCTTGTTCTACTTCATCATTCATTTCTGTCTCTTGTTCTATGTTTTGGCCAGAGGTTGAAGGTTTACTCGACCCCATTTCAATATTACCAGCTTCAACATCTGATGTTATTAGTCCCGGTACACCACTTGGCATTGCAAAAACTCTGCAACAAAGATTTTTTTTATTGAAAAGCAAATATATTATTAATTTACACTTTAATGGCTATACAAAATTGCATCCACAGCTATCCTTTTCAATTTACCATAATAATCATGAGTTCAGCTAATTACTATAACATTTTCGTTTTTGCAAATCTTGATGTTTTTTAATATCCAAAATCACAACCAAAAGGAGACAGTTTCCATAGGACATGTGAACATTTTCTTTCCCAATGTCAACTTTATTTTTCAAATTGAATTTTTAGAAATTTAAGAGTAAAATTCTTCCCATAATAAACTAAGGAGACTGCTTTTGAAAAAAAATGTTTATACTGTTTTCAGTTTTTTTGTATGAATTTTTGTAAAGTCGACTTTATTGCCCTGTTAAAACTTATCAATACAAATGTGGGTATACTCACTTGGTGAATTTCACAAGAAGTATAAATGCAGCTAATAAGGTGCCACCAGCTGCAGCGATAGCACCAATAACAGAAACGGGTGCAACCCAGGCTTCATCAGTACTCGCCAATTGTGAACCGCCTACAATCGGGATTGTTGCCGTTTCTGCTGTTGTTGTGGCTGATTGTGTTGTTGTTGTGGCTGATTGTGTTGTTGTTGTGGCTGATTGTGTTGTTGTAGTTTGTGGTACTGTTGTTGTTGTGGCTGTTTGTGTTGTTGTAGTTTGTGGTACTGTTGTTGTTGTGGCTGATTGTGTTGTTGTAGTTTGTGGTACTGTTGTTGTTGTTGTGGCTGATTGTGTTGTTGTTGTTTCTGGTACAGTTGTTGTTGTGGCTGATTGTGTTGTTGTAGTTTGTGGTACTGTTGTTGTTGTGGCTGATTGTGTTGTTGTTTCTGGTACAGTTGTTGTTGTGGCTGATTGTGTTGTTGTTGTTTCTGGTACAGTTGTTGTTGTGGCTGATTGTGATGTTGTTGTTTCTGGTACAGTTGTTGTTGTGGCTGATTGTGTTGTTGTTGTTTCTGGTACAGTTGTTGTTGTGGCTGGTTGTGTTGTTGTTGTTTCTGGTACTGTTGTTGTTGTGGCTGATTGTGTTGTTGTTGTTTCTGGTACTGTTGTTGTTGTGGCTGATTGTGTTGTTGTAGTTTGTGGTACTGTTGTTGTTGTGGCTGGTTGTGTTGTTGTTGTTTCTGGTACAGTTGTTGTTGTGGCTGGTTGTGTTGTTGTTGTTTCTGGTACAGTTGTTGTTGTGGCTGGTTGTGTTGTTGTTGTTTCTGGTACTGTTGTTGTTGTGGCTGATTGTGTTGTTGTTGTTTCTGGTACAGTTGTTGTTGTGGCTGATTGTGTTGTTGTTGTTTCTGGTACAGTTGATGTTGTGGCTGGTTGTGTTGTTGTTGTTTCTGGTACAGTTGTTGTTGTGGCTGATTGTGTTGTTGTAGTTTCTGGTACTGTTGTTGTTGTGGCTGTTTGTGTTGTTGTTGTTTCTGGTTGTGTTGTTGTCGTTTCTGTTTGTGTTGTTGTCGTTTCTGTTTGTGTTGTTGTCGTTTCTGGTTGTGTTGTTGTAGTTTCTGTTTGTGTTGTTGTCGTTTCTGGTTCAGTTGTTGTAGTTTCTGTTTGTGTTGTTGTCGTTTCTGGTTCCGTTGTTGTAGTTTCTGTTTGTGTTGTTGTCGTTTCTGGTTCCGTTGTTGTAGTTTCTGTTTGTGTTGTTGTCGTTTCTGGTTCCGTTGTTGTAGTTTCTGTTTGTGTTGTTGTCGTTTCTGGTTCCGTTGTTGTAGTTTCTGTTTGTGTTGTTGTCGTTTCTGGTTCCGTTGTTGTAGTTTCTGTTTGTGTTGTTGTCGTTTCTGGTTCCGTTGTTGTAGTTTCTGTTTGTGTTGTTGTCGTTTCTGGTTCCGTTGTTGTAGTTTCTGTTTGTGTTGTTGTCATTTCTGGTTGTGTTGTTGTAGTTTCTGTTTGTGTTGTTGTCGTTTCTGGTTGTGTTGTTGTAGTTTCTGTTTGTGTTGTTGTCGTTTCTGGTTGTGTTGTTGTAGTTTCTGTTTGTGTTGTTGTCGTTTCTGGTTGTGTTGTTGTAGTTTCTGTTTGTGTTGTTGTCGTTTCTGGTTCAGTTGTTGTAGTTTCTGTTTGTGTTGTTGTCGTTTCTGGTTCAGTTGTTGTAGTTTCTGTTTGTGTTGTTGTCGTTTCTGGTTCCGTTGTTGTAGTTTCTGTTTGTGTTGTTGTCGTTTCTGGTTCCGTTGTTGTAGTTTCTGTTTGTGTTGTTGTCATTTCTGGTTGTGTTGTTGTAGTTTCTGTTTGTGTTGTTGTCGTTTCTGGTTGTGTTGTTGTAGTTTCTGTTTGTGTTGTTGTCGTTTCTGGTTGTGTTGTTGTAGTTTCTGTTTGTGTTGTTGTCGTTTCTGGTTCAGTTTTGTTGTAGGTTCTGTTTGTGTTGTTGTCGTTTCTGGTTCAGTTGTTGTAGTTTCTGTTTGTGTTGTTGTCGTTTATGGTTCAGTTGTTTTAGTTTATATTTATGTTGTTTTTGTTTCTGGTTCCGTTGTTGTAGTCTCTGTTTCAGTTGTTGTGGTTTCTGTTTCTGTTGTTGTCGTTTCTATTTCTGTTGTTGTTTCTGGTTCCGCTGTTGTAGTTGTGGGACATTGTGCTGAAACTGTATAATCGGAAATTAAAAAAAAATGTTCACATTTGTCAAATATAAACCTTGTTTTAATCAAAATTCTTAACTGGCTAGACATTTAAGCGAGAACTGTGAATTTGCGCCTCTTTTTATACACCCGTCATAAGACGGGACGTATTATGTTATAAGCTTCAAGTCCGTCCGTTCGTCTGTCCGTCTGCCCATTCCAGTCCCGCTCATAACTTCAATATTATTAGGCCTAGGATTATCAAACTTTGTCAACTGATACTTCTTTGGTAGACGGTGTGTCGCACTTAAAAAGTAGGTCTCTCTTACCTTTGATTAAGATGCTATGACAAAATATTGCAAAAATCCTGTTCGGCTCATAACTAGAAAACTAGACCTAGAACTATCAAACTTGGCAAATTTATACATTTTAGGTAGAAGATGTGTCGCGACCAATTTCAAGGTCATTGTGACCTTTAGTTTAAGTAAATAATTTCTTTAAAAGTCTTTTAAATTTCAAATTGCACAATCCTAAAAATGTAAAGATATAGCTGAGCATGCTTATTAGTTGACAACAGTGCTACGTGCAGGCGAAGAAGCTGTTCTTAACAAATCCCCTGGTCAAGATGGCTTAACGGCAGAATTCTATAAAGGTTTTTGGCATGATATAAAGGAAATATTTTTTCCTCTTAAAAGTAATGGTATTTTGCCTTTTCGCAAAGAAAAGCTGCACTGAAAGAAATACCTAGTTGATTTAACTAGTATGCCTAGTAAAGCGTTCTGCGTGATTAGTGATCACTCTGTTTACTGGCTAAGATAGTAAAAAGTGGAGTGGTGGTCGTATAGATACTAAGATACCTAGTGAAAGTTACTTATAAATTCTTAGATTTACTAATGTTATCTAGTGAATCTACCCAATTCCTAGTAAAACTACTTTTGAGGTAGTGATTGTATGGACAGTAGATTTACTAGTCTTCCCAGTGACTTTCACTAGTTTATTTTTTTCAGTGTGTGATATGTTTGATATTTAAGAAAGGAGAGAAAGAAAAATCTTAAGAACTAAATATAGACCAATTAGTCTTACAAACGTTGATTACAAAATTTTTGCTCATGTTTTAGCTAATAGTTTGCAAAAAGTTGCTACATGTAGTAGAATAATTAGTAGTGATCAAATTGCTTGTATTAAAGGTAGATATATTGGAGAAAACGCGATAATAATATTAGATATATTTGAATATTGTACAAATAATAACATTGATGGTATTTTGCTCTTTCCTCGATTAAAAAAAAAAACTTTTGATTCTGTTGAATAAAACTTCATGTACAAAGCTCTAGAACAATTTAAGTAAAAAAAAATATCACTTTTTATAGTGAGGCCCTTTCTGCTTTCAATAAATGTAAAAAAAAAGTTAAACAAATTTGCACTTTAAAGAGAGACCACTTTTTATCGGAATTCATTTGGAACAATAATATGTTTCAGTGTGATTCTAAACCTCTTTGTTTTGAAAACTGGATAAAAATTAATATTCTGTATATCAAGGGTCTTTTTGGTTATGGTGGTAACTTTCTTAGTATTAAACACTTTTAAACATACTGGAAAAGAAAAACAATATACTCTGTGAATATATCATGACAAACAAGATGCCCGGTGGCAACAAAGTTCCAAAAAACTATTTATAGTATATAGGTCACAGTCAAGGTCACAAGATCATTGACCTTTGTGTCTTTTGAAATAACTTAACTAGTTGAGTATGCATACCAAATATGAAGTCTCTGTTTCCTATGGTTAAAAATTATGACGAACGTTCGGAAAAGCTACTTTTAGCATAAAGGTCACAGTCAAGGTCACAAGGTCATTGACCTTGTGTCGTTTGAAAGTACTTAATTAGTAGACAATACATACCAAATTTGAAGTCTCTATCTCTCTTGGTTCAAAAATTATGGCGAAAGTACGAAAAAGATAATTTTAGCATATAGGTCACAGTCAAGGTCACAGATAATTGACCTTGATGTCATGTTAAAGATCTTGATTAGAAAAGTGTGCATACTAAATATGAAGTCTCTATCTCTCATGGTTCAAAAGTTATGGCGAAGGTGAAAGTGGACAACAGACAGACAAACAGACAGACCAAAATTAATACACGCCTCGGATCTCTCGATCCGGGCGCATAAAAAGGCACTTTATAATGAATACAAAACAATTTTGAATGTACATATGCAAAATTTGTTAATATTGAAAAAGTAGTGTCATTTTAGATTAAAAATAAAAGTATAAGAAATCTAAAAAAATCTAAAATGTGATTTTTATTATTCAATTTTGTTAACATAAAATTTCAACGATCAGTTTAAGAAAAATATATGTGGCAAAAGACTTTTGATCTTGGTTGCAAATTTGTCTGGAAAAATGTATATCTAGCCAAAGGTATGAAAAAAAAATGTTGCTGAATTCAATTATAAATTACTGAATTGCACATTGAATAATAATTTAAATGTAAGTAAATGCATGAATATGGATCAAAGATAGAAGAACCTTTTCGTGAATATTTATGGTTGTTAAAGACACTGAACATGTGTAAACTTTTCGAAAATAAATGGGGAAAAATCAGTTTATTTTGGGTTTTGAAATCAAATGGAAAGTACTGGTACTTGGCTTTTACAATGAAATCAATCAAAAACAACGAGATTGAATAATCTAATGTCATTCATTTGTTTTACCATTAATAAATATAAAATGAAATTTAAATTGGAAAAAGAAAACATTTATATAGAAGTTTTTCGATATAAGATAAAAAAAATGTCTTAGTTTCATAACGTAATTCTAAGGAAAGTACATTTAATTAATGATAATTTGTATCTAGAAGTAGGCAATTATTTGTGATTTTGATTTATAAATTGCTATGTAATGTATGTAATAAGCTTTTCTGTACATTGAATTTTTTAGGTTCCATGTTTTAATAAAAGAGAAAAAATTTAGGTGTATCCTTATTAAAAAATGTTAAATCAAGTAAAAACTAGAAATATGTCCATAGGACATGAATGCCCCGCCGAGGATATATTTGTAAAGCAACATGAAAATTTGTATGTGTATAAAATTTGATCAGTTTGGTTTAAAAATGTAGGTCAGGTCCAGCATCCAAAGTAAATCTGGTAGTGTCCATCCCTTGATGCATCATCCATGCAAGTTTGGTTCAGGTAGGGCTTATAGTTACTTGGGAATAAAAATATAGGTCAGATCCAGCATCTGAAGCAAGTCTGGTAGTGTCCATCCCTAGATGGATCATCCATGCAAGTTTGGTTCAGGTAGGACTTACAGTTACTTGGGAATAAAAATATAGGTCAGATCCAGCATCCGAAGCAAGTCTGGTAGTGTCCATCCTTAGCTGCATCATCCATGCAAGTTTGATTCAGGAAGGGCTTATAGTTACTTGGGAATAAAAATATAGGTCAGATCCAGCAACCGAAGCAAGTCTGGTAGTGTCCATCTCTAGCTGCATCATCCATGCAAGTTTGGTTCAGGTAGGGCTTATAGTTACTTGGGAAAGAAAATATAAGTCAGATCCAGCATCCAAAGCAAGTCTGGTAGTATCCATCCCTAGTTGCATCATCCTTCAATTTTAGTTCAGTAGGACTTATAGTTACTTGGGAATAAAAATATAGGTCAGATCCAGCATCCGAAGCAAGTCTGGTAGCGTCCATCCCTTGATGCATCATCCATGCAAGTTTGATTCAGGTAGGGCTTATAGTTACTTGGGAATGAAAATATAGGTCAGATCCAGCATCCAAAGCAAGTCTGGTAGTGTCCATCCCTGGATGCATCATCCATGCAAGGTTGGTTCAGGTAGGTCTTATAGTTACTTGGGAATGAAAATATAGGTCAGATCCAGCATTCGAAGCAAGTCTGGCAGTGTCCATCCTTAGATGCATCATCCATGCAAGTTTGGTGCAGGTACGGCTTATAGTTCCTCCAAAAACTTAAACCTGGTCACTCATCTGGAAAATGTAGGTCAGATCCAGCATCTGAAGCAAGTCTGGTAGTGTTCATCCCTAGATGCATCATCCATGCAAGTTTTATCAACATGTGAAGTTTGATAACACCATCTTGAATGATATGTTTAAAACTGAGCTAAACACTAATTTAAGAAAAGCGAGGTCAAGGTCAAAGGAAAGGTCAAGGTCAAAAAATGTTGATGCAGTTGCATGGCTCTCATCAATATCTATCAGCATATGAAGTTTGATGAAAATATCTTGGATAGTTTTTTTGAAACTTAGCTTTGAACAGAGCTAAACACAAAGTGTGACGGAAAGACGGAAGGACGGAAGACGGACATGACAAACACTATATGCCCCGGCCATATTCATGGCGGGGCATAAAAAAATGTTATCATATATTTTACAGCAATCTATGACAAATGTTAATGATATGAGGGAAATTCAGTTTCTCCCATGGGCATGATTAATTATCAAGCACTGGTCAAGAAAAAAATTTGATAGCAGAGATTTGCAATTGTCAGATTCAGGAGCTAATTAGTGGGGCATCTCTGATCAAGCAGCCACTTGCAAAGTAAGAAGTTTTTTTTTTTAATTTTGACCTCGAATTCACTAGGGGTCTTGAGGTCATAGGGAGTTGTAGTAAAATGTATATGTAGTATAATTTATTATCATAAAAGCTCAAAGGTATTTGTGATATCGTCCAGAAACAAAAGTGTTAAACACAGAGAGAATTACAAGCAGACGCATGACCGGTGACGGTCGGGCGCACCCAAAAATTAATATCCCCAACTTTCAGTGAAAGCGGGAAAGAACAACGCCGCAATTCTTCATGTTGCACATTCTAACAAAACCACATAGGTATGCAAGTCGCCGGCGTGGTGCCATGATTTGAGCGTTTACTCTTCAGTCGCGGAGTAAGGAGTCGATCCTTACGTTGTGGTTTCGAATCCCTTTGTGGGACGAGGAGACCGGTCCTTTGGATGAGACCGTATAAACCGATGTACTGTGCTGCAGTAAGTGTTGGTTAAAAAAGATCTCTCACTTCTCAAAGGCCCTAAAAGCCGAGTAAAGGTCTTAATTTGAAGCCTTCCACCAAGAGACGGTGATTGCGTGTCAATATGA